CGCGCCTGGAGCGCGGCCAGCCGCGGGGCGGGTCAACGGCCGCAGGCGCCCTCGAGGAACCCCCGCTCCCTCCGCCTCGCGCTCCCCGCGCGACCCCCTCCCGAGCCCCCTCCTCACCGTGGCCGAGCGGGCGGGGGTAGTCCCCCCGCCTCCTCCGCCGCCCGCCGAATGCAGTGAGCAGCGCCCGGCGCAGCCCCCAATCCCTGACCTACTTTCCGCCTGGCTTGCCACCGAACGTCGCACCACTAACCTACTTTCCAGCCAATGGCTGCTTCCCCCCGCTCGAGCCCGAGAGCACCTCTCGGCCAATACGCGAGCCGCTTGCCCCAGCTCCGCGCCCAATCGCGGACGGGCCTCGGCGCTCCCCCGCCGGCCAATCCGAATCCCCCCTTTGCGGAGCGACAGCCAATCAGAAACGGCTCTCGGGGTTGGACTCCCGCCTCGCGGAGCCGTGGGGGAGGGCAGCTGCTGGGGCTTACGCACGGGACGCTGAGGAGCGCGGGGACCCGGATGTAGCGCTCCTCCGGGGTCGCTCCCCGTCGCCTGGGGGGGCGCCATGGTGGGAGACCCCCCGCCCGCCTTAAGTCCAACGCACTGTTGCCATGACCACTGGCAACTTTGTCATTGCCTCCCGGCGCGCTGTGATATCATCCTCCCTCGTATGTCACTGTCGCGTGCCGCGGGGGAGTGCGACTGCGTCAGGCTGCCACTCTCTGCTCTTGCGAGGCAGTGCCACAGGGCGTTATAATGTTGCCCAGCGGTGTTACATCATCCTTTCACCTCATAACAGTTCCGTGACCTTTTCCTGTTCTGCACCGTGGGGTCACTAATGGTTCATCACGGCCTTGCACCGTGATGGGGGACCTCGTACCCACGGACTAGTGCAGTGTGATTGTGGCAGGCTGATGCCTTGTGCCAGAGCAGTGTCACTGCCTCGTGGTGTCATGGCCTGGTGGTGTCATAGCTCTTTGCCACTGGGAAGCTCTATCGTTCCACCATATAGTCATGTAAAGTTGCTGCATCGTGATTAGGGTCACCAGCTCTGTCTGAATCCATCCCAGCAGTTTTCCAGAATGTCACCGTGGCCGCGACACACAATGCAAACGTGCCTGCCTGCTTGCATGTATCAATTACAGATTACAGTGCGGAGACTTTATGTCAGGAGGCAAGTGCACATTACTATTACATTTTAAAAACTTACTGGACTGCTTTATAAATCTGATTCAACATTTAATATTTATTTTAACAAATGCCCTATTATTTATCTCCGGGGTGGCTCTCAGCAGTATTCTGGAGATTTATATCTAGTTCCTGGAGACTCCAGGGCAATCCTGGAGGGTTGGCAACCCTAATCCTGATGCAGTGTTGTCATTTATACAGCATCTACAGCGCAAAGCCACTCACTGCTCCAATTCATAGTCTGAATTTAAACTTGCTCCACGTCATTTAAAACAATAGCATCTTCACCACAACTGTGGCTCATTAAGGGAATCCACTGCAAGGCAGACAGTTGCAATTGTGTTGTATTTACATGGTGCATCACATCCAGTTTGCACTGTAGTGCCATGATACCAAATAATCAACATCACATCATTTCAACACAGTATGCATATCCTGTCACACCATATCCTGTCACTATATCAGAAGTTCGTCTGACATTAATTTGCATCACATCACATCACTAAATTTGAATTACAACATTACCTCAGGATCATTATTGTTATTTCCACGTGTCAAAGAACATATTTTTCATGGCAACATCAACACCAGCTTTCTATGATGTTGGTTTGAAGAGTTTGCAACCTTGCCTACGAGTGGCTTATAAGAGGATTCAGAATTCCCCTGGTTAAAATCAGGATGATCTTATACAAGTGGTAACCCTGCAACAGGACAAGGTAAATAGTAAAAAAAGATACACCAACATACAAGTAAGCCCTGTAGATAGGGACATGGGGAGAGCCACTGTTGCAGGAGCTGAGAGAATAGTTCTCCATCAGCGGGACAGGAAGACAAGGGCCTCAGCAGGAGGACACAGGTGCCTATATACTAATGCCAGGAGCATGGGGAACAAGCAGGAGGAGCTAGCCCTCCTACTCTCCAGAGCGCACTATGATCTAGTAGGGATTACAGAGACCTGGTGGGACTCCTCATGACTGAAGTGTAGCTATAGATAGAGGATTACACCCTGCATAGGAGGGACTGGGTGGGGAGGAAAGGTGGAGTCGTTGCTCTCTATGTGAAAGAGCAATACACCTCTTTGGAGGCCGACATTGGCTCCAAAAATGGACAGCTTGAAACTCTCTGGGTCAAGTTGGGGGGTGGGAGGGGTGGCATGGCATGGCATGCCGAGAGAGACCTAACTGTAGGTCTTTACTACAGACCACCAAACCAGTGGGAGGAACTCTATCTGGAGTTCATCTGAGAATTGACTGAGGCTGCACATGCACATGACATGGTCATCATGGGCAATTTTAATTATCCAGACATCTCCTGGGAGGAACAGTCAGACAAGCTGGATCGGTCACATTCATTCCTGACCTGTGTCAAGGAGCTCATCCTGACTCAGGAGGTGCATGGGCCAACCAGAGGTGATGCTCTTCTAGACTTGGTCCTGGGCAGAGGAGACAACCTGGTAAGCGACTTAAATATAGAGGGAAGTCTGGGCGATAGCGATCATGAAACCATCATGTTCACTGTCTGATGTAAGGCAGACAAATCAGCAGGATTGAAGTCTTGGACTTCAAAAATGCAAATTTCAACAAGCATAGGTCACTAGTAGGGCAAGTGTTGCAGGATCAGGGACTAAAGGCAAAAGGTGTGCATGAAGAGTTCCTTAAGGACACAATCCTTGAAGCACAAAGGAAGTCCATTCCCATGCGGAGAAAAGGAAACAGAAGGGCTGGGAAGCTCTCTCAGGTAAACAGGGAAATCACAGTTCTCTTAAGAAAGAAGAAAGAGGCTTATAAACAATGGAAGCCCAGGGCAGGCCCCAAGGAGGACTATTCCATGACGGCCTCCTTGACGGCCCTGTAGATAGGAACATGGGGAGAGGTAGATAGGGACGGCCCTGTAGATAGGGACATCTGTTTCCTGCACTTACAGGAAACAGATAAGACGGGCTAAAGTGGCGAGTGAACTTAGATCAGCAACAGGAATCAAGGAAGTCCTTCTTTAGGTACATAGGGAACAGGAGGAAAACAAGTGGGAGTGTGGGGCCATTGCTCAACAACTCAGTAGAGCTGGGTACCAGCACCCAGGAGAAAGCTGAAATCCTGATTGACTACTTTGCCTTGGTCTTTCATCAGACCAAGAGGAAAACCACACCAGGTAGAGCAGAGGATGAGCAAGGTATGAATAATCACCTTCCTACTATTGCCGTAGAATTGCTGTATGACCAGTTAATAACATTAGATGTATTCAGGTCAGCAGGACCAGATGATCTTCATCTGAGAGTGCTGAAGGAGCTGGCTGAAGTCATTGTGGAACCCCTGGCAAAACTCTTCCACAACTCATAGCACTCTGGAGAAGTCCCTGAGGACTGGAAGAGGGACAAAGTTGTGCCCATTCACAAAAAGGGCAGGGGGAAGGACCCAGGTAACTGTAGGCCAATCAGCCTAACTTCCATCCTAGGGAAAATCCTAGAAAAGTTAATCAGGAGTCTATCTGCGATAAGCTTGCAGAAGGTAAGATTCTGAATGACAGCCAGCATGACTTCATCACAGGCAGGTCTTGCCTTACCAACTTCATCTCCTTCTATGACCAGGTAACTCATCACCTGGACATGAGAGAGCAAGTTGACATTCTTTACTTAGACTTCCAAAATGCCTTTAATCTAGTATCCCATGATGTCCTTGTGAGAAAATCGGAGGATTGTGGGATTAACTCCGAGAAAGTCAGGTGAGTGAGAAACTGCCAGGATAGGACCCAGAGAGTCATAGTGAATGGATCTGTGTCATCCTGGTGAGAAGAGGGCAACGGTGTCCCACAGGAGTCAGTGCTCAGTCCAGTACTTTTCAACATCTTTATTAATGATTTCAATGTGGGGGTGAAGAGCTCACTGGCCAAGTTCACGGACGACACCAAGTTATGGGGAAGCATGGTCACACTTGAAGATAGGCTTCAGTTACAGGTAGACCTAGACAGGCTAGCAAGTTGGGCAGATTGGAACCCGATGAAGTTCAACATTGAGAAACGTAAAGTGCTCCACCTTGGGACAAGCAACCCCAACTCACCTACAGGCTTGGCAGCACCAAAGTGTCTAGCACCAAAAATGAAAGGGACCTGGGGGTAATAATAGACCATAGTATGAATATGAGTTGGCAGT